CACAATGGATTTACACCACATGCACATACATGATTTATTTATTTATTTATTTTGCTCTAATTCAATAATGTTGATATTGAGGTATTCTTGGTACGCGGAATGCATGGTTTTTAGGAGCTTATTCTCTCAATTGCTTACATTTTTCTATCCCTTTCGCAAGTTATAACAAATTTTAGGAAGCTTTAGAGATAGAGGTAGTGAAAGAAAACTGCCCAAAAATATTCAAGTTTTATTTAAAACATGAAACAAATTATTTATTTATACAGAAAATATTTCCCCCAAACAATCCCTTAATGTAATATGGGATTGCCGAATCAAAGCTAACATACGAACTACTAATACCAAGTGTGCTAACAAATTCACTTAGGATCTTCCCGCAATGTCAGCACGCATATACTTGCATTTGTCTGAAATATGAGACCAATTTAAGGTCTAAAGCTCACCATCCCAGAGTTCATCCAGGGTTTTGAAGGGTCCATTAGGTGAGATGAATCCCTCGTTAAGCAGGAACCTCCGTTGTGGAATCTGGTTGATCTTCTCGTAATCCTCCTTAGTTAATTCCCAATCAAATATCTGCAAATTCTGCTTCATCCTTTCCTTGTTGAAGCTCTTAACCACAAAAGTTGCTCCTTGCTCATACGACCATCTCAGACAAACCTGCCAATGTCCCAAATATATATTATTAAAATCACTGATATCAAAGAGTAATGTAAAACATGTAGATTTGTGTTTAAACAATGTACAAGAACCTGAGCAATAGTCTTTCCATGAGCTTTAGCAATCTCTTTTAGTGTTTCGTTGTCCAAAACATGATTGGAGCCCCACTTAGTGCCACTTGCTCCCAAAGGTGAATAGGCGGTCACAGTTACATTTGTGGCCTTGCAGAATTCCCTTAGCTTTTTTTGTTGCCAGAGAGGGTTCATCTCCACCTGAAACAAGACAAATTCTCATTATCTCTTCTTTATTCATTTTTGTAACATCATTTTATAATCAACATCAGGCTGATCATATTGATTGTCAATAATCCATCAAAAGAGTTCCTAATGTGGTAAATTACACTCGAAAGCAGGTAATCCAATATTTATTGTGTTAAAACTACAAATCCATTCTAAACAATCCTAGTACTCTTTTATTTGCAACATGGGAAGAATGCAACTGATAAAATTAATGTCAACTACTCACTTGATTCACGGATGGGGGGATGGTGGCAAAGGAGAATATGTTTTCAAGCTTCTTGCAAGAGAAGTTGGAGACACCAATAGACTTGGTGAGGCCAAGCCTTTGACACTCTTCCATGGCACCCCACACTGACTTGTAATCCATTAGTTGAAGCTCCTCTTGGGGGATTGACACCCTTAATTCTCCTGGCTTTGCACTGATAGGCCAGTGGATGAGATATAGATCCAGGTATTCCAACTGGAGAGTCCTGCATAAACACAATAATCACCATGAATCGGCAAAATTTATCTGCAAGAAATCTGTCACCTAGGGACAAACAGGACAAGGACAAGCCTAATATCCCCTTTTACAGAACGAATTCTTTCTTGAATTTATTTTCAAAAATGAATACTGTCTTTTTTCTAGTGAAAAAGTTGTCAATTTTGCAGTTTGGTTGGTCCCTTCAAATATGATATGATTAGTTTTGTACGGACAAAATATTTCTATAAACTATCTTGATTTATTTATTTATTTATTTTATTATTTTTTATTTTTTTATTTTTACATAGGAAACCATTAGAAAAGGGGAAAATCTTTTAAGCAGTGAATGAAAGTAAATTTTCACCGACTAAATCTAAATACTAACACGTTTGGAACAAACCATATTCTATATTTGTTTATTTGTGTCGAATTATTTTGCGGTTGTGCATAATTTCTTGGAGAATCCGAAAACGAGGTTATGAGGAAACGATCGACGCTGTCTTTGATTGAGAAATAAAGGGGAATTAAGATGGGTACCTCAGAGATTTCTGCAGCGCAGGGACAACAAGATCGGGATGAGCGTCGGTCACCCAGAGCTTGGAAGTGACAAAGAATTCTTCCCGGGAACTAACGAGACCGAGTTGAATTGCTTCAGCCAATGCTTCTCCCAGGGGCTTCTCAGACCCATACAAAGATGCAGTGTCAAAGTGCCTGTAACCAATCCTGATGGACTCCAGGACAGCCTGTTTCAAAGCAATTTCGTCAAAAGGGTCGGCTGCCAACCCCATGCCAATCACGGGCATGTGACGGTGGCCGGAGGAGGAGCTCAATTTCACCTCCGGAACAGCGAAAACACCGGAATGTTCAACGTCGGCCATTCTCTGTCTCTGAAACTTGTTGAATATCAGTTAAGATCATATTATATATAGTCCTGCTTACCAAAATTTCTTACCATTGAGCTACCCCTTGGGACCAACACTTATGTCGGTGTTGGGCATAATGCAGAATTGCAGATAGCCAGATATGCAGTATCTGTATATGTACGGCAGAAAACGACAGTACTTTATGACGACAGTGGCGATGAAATTAGATGAGAATTTTAATTTGAAAACTTGCTTTGTGCTGCCTTTATTCTCCTTCTGCAAACTCCAATCCAATGACCAATCCCTACCAAAAAGTTGGTTAAAAAAAAGAAAATTCTCCACCGGAAAATGTTTGTGCTCACCTTTGGAGGTAAGTAAAGTTGGAAAAGTATTATGCTTTTGTATTAACATTTTGGCTAAAGGGCATTTCTAATAAGTATGTATTTAGGAAAAAAAAAAATTCTGTTATTAAAAATATTAAAATATTTAATAATTATTATATAATAAATTTGATAAAATGAGTTTATATTAT